GTTATGTCAATGGAATTGGAGTAGAAAAAGATGAACAAAAGGCAGTTGAATTGTATCAAAAAGCTGCTGATCAAGGAAATGCTCAAGCACAATGTAATCTTGGTTTGTGTTATGTCAATGGAATTGGAGTAGAAAAAGATGAACAAAAGGCAGTTGAATTGTATCAAAAAGCTGCTGATCAAGGAAATGCTCAAGCACAATGTAATCTTGGTTTGTGTTATGTCAATGGAATTGGAGTAGAAAAAGATGAACAAAAGGCAGTTGAATTGTATCAAAAAGCTGCTGATCAAGGAGATGCTCAAGCACAATGTAATCTTGGTTTGTTTTATGTCAATGGAACTGGGGTAGAAAAAGATGAACAACAAGCAGTTGCATGGTATCAAAAAGCTGCTGATCAAGGAAATACTAATGCACAATATAATCTTGGTATTTGTTACGAAAAAGGAATTGGAGTAGAAAATGATGAACAAAGGGCAGTTGAGTTGTATCAAAAAGCTGCTGAACAAGGTGATTATGGTGCTGATTTACAATTTAATCTTGGTCAGTGTTATAGACTTGGAATTGGAGTGAGAAAAGATGACCAAAGGGCAGTTGAATGGTATCAGAAAGCATCTGAACAAGGTGATGCTGGTGCACAGTTTAGGCTTGGTCATTTATATAGAAAAAGTATTAGCATGGAAACAGATTATGAAAAAGCTTTTGAGTTATATCAAAAAGCGGCCATGCAAGGAAATTCAAATGCAAAAGATAACCTTGGTTGGTGTTATGAGAAAGGGGTTGGTGTGAATAAAAATGTTCAAAAAGCAGTGGAATTGTATCAAGAGGCAGTCAAACAAGGAAATGTATCTGCATACACTAGTCTTGGTTTATGTTACAAAAATGGTATTGGGGTAGAAAGAGATATTCAAAAGGCTATTGAACTGTTTCAAAAAGCAGCTGAACAAAAGCATGCATATGGACAATATAATCTTGGGTGGTGCTATGAGTGGGGAATTGGAGTAAAACAAGATGAACAGAAAGCTATTGAATTATATGAAAAAGCTGCTGATCAAGGGTACATTAAGGCACAAAGTAAGGTTTATTTTTTTGTATACAATGAAAAATTGAAATTAAAAAGAAAGATCCAAGAGTTGGCTGAAATTTATCCAGCCAAAAAGAAGAACAAGTTAGAATAAAATAAGAACATAAGATGAATAAGAGCTGCTGCTTTAATTTATTTGTTACTGGTAATAGATTAAGTGTTATTATTATTATATCTTTTTAACAAATTTATCATGTAAATGGTCTATCAAATAAACTTTAAAGTTGTAGCATTGCAACAAGGATAAAAGTGCTATAATAATATGAACAGCAACTAATAACAATAATTTTACTATTGCTATTTGTTGTCATACACAATTACAAGTAGAGTATAATCCATGTTAGGGTTCAAGAAAAATGTACATACTGATACACCAAATAATTATTGAGAGTTAGTGGTTTATTAATTCCTTTCTTCATTCTTGCAAATTTACAAAAAAACAGACATATATTCCTTTGGTATTTTATTGCCACTGGTGAGTTAGCTTTTCGAAACAGACAGATTTAATATTATCATGCAATATTTTGGGGTGGACGATGACCACTGACGCTTGATTTAGCAAGGACCTTGATCAACGCTGTTGTGATGCTGATCCTGACAAGCGTCCCGAAGTGGAAATATTTAGGAGGACGGATATTCACGACATTATTGAATGTCTGGACAAGGACTATAATATGAAATCCATATATCATAATGATGCAAGACCCTCATCATATTTTGAGAAAGAGAATAAATATTCTAGTAATAGTAAGTTCTTACCTACTGGAGACCTGTGTAAACCAATAATAATAAATAGCTGCGGTTACTCATCGGCTACCTCCTGCACCAGACTTCAGCTTGCCAAGTTCAGAAATAGAATAGACGAGATGCAGAAGAGATCATTTTGATTCAGTTGCAGGTACAGTATGAAGACAAGGTGCGCAAATGAAATCAAATCTGAAGCTAAAGTCCTTCAATATTGTCGATGAGGCTCCCGGTGGTTTCGGAGCATCCACGCATCTGGAAGATTCAAACATTAGTTATTTGTAATACACAAACCCATGCGCTTCATTTTCCACAGCTGTTCAATATTAACTTGTAGACACGCATACCTCATGCTACTATCATTGCTTCTCCAGTAGTTTTCGGTCGGTTAAACTATATGGCCAGCAATGGGAGCGGGATACGGAGCAGTGTGAGATTTGCGAAGACCTTTCTGTCTCTGTATAGGCATGCCTATATTCATTGTCTGATTGGAGTAGACGACTATCTGTTGTTCGTACAAAGATGGGGAAATGAATAATATCTTTAGCTTTCATATGACAGACAAATCTCGCGAACTATCATTATACGACGAGTAATAATTAGCTTATGATCGATCTTTAAACGTAACTCCTACCTTTTTCCATGAGTCGTCTACCGTTGAACATACACGTCTCGGCAACTTTTTTAGCCGATAAATATATAGTAATGGGTGAAAAGGAGTTATTGACAAGCCACAATCGATCTCCGTTCTGCTTTCGTAACAAGGAATTCTTTCAGTAGAACGCATTTTCCTTTGTAAAGTGAATGTATAGCGCCCGCAGTCGGAAAGGCCGCATCTAACCAGACATTAAAGCTCATCGGGACGGTTCGGTTAATAACACCGTCTATTCGATCGTCTGCGTAGATATTCACTTCGTTGGCCTTGCTTCTATGATACCATTATATTGGTCAGATTAAAGTTTAAGCTTACGATCCCACCTAACGTTGAACGAAAAGTCCAACATCGTCTCGTTATTGGCTATTTGAGCTATTTTGTCAACACTAGCCCTTTATAGGCTTTGATTCTCAATCTCCAGTCTAACCAAATCCCAATACTGGGTATTTTGCCAACCATTCCCTTCGGACATATCTTCCGGCCTGAGACATTAAAAATGTGTGGTGAGGTCCATATGCGGTGAAACGTTAATCGTTGAATACAATTAGTAATATGCGATAATCTCACTATTACAGTATAATTAATTAACATAATTCCTTTTTAGACAGTTGATGATCTTATCCGTAATCTAATCTTGTTGGGGTAATTCGGATAATCACGGCTGGAATTTTGCCTTATCATTCTTAAATCGTTCACGCCAAATCTAAAACACTTAGTAATCGTATGATCCTTGTGGCGCTTTCTCTTATCAACGACCTGCACATAGATAACGCTGTACGCAATGAGAGGTTCACCTATATCGATAATGATAAAGAATATCCGTTCTCGATCCTATAAAACTGTCGGCGTGAATCCAAACAGAGTAACCAAGACAACATGTACGGAATGTCGTTTACTCTCAATATACCAAGCGTTCTAGCTTTGCTTATCGTCTCGTTCGTAATCAAGAAATTCGTCGTGGTAAACCTTTACGGCACTGTTTCATGGATCAAAGTTCATTGTTTACTACCAAAACACTAAAAAAATGCTTTGTCATTATTATATTATCCAGTCCCTTTACGTCAATTTCCATGGCCGCCTGTCTCACATTCCAGGACCATTCTACTCCTTCACGGTGATAAAAATAATATATCTTCAAGCAACCGGAACTGTATGGAAATGGACACGAACGCTCCATAAAAAGTATGGACCAATTGTAAAAATCGGTGAGTTAAACTGTGATTCTTAAGAGTCAACCCTAAAGAAACTGGTAATGGTGGAATGAGCCGATTGAATGCGTGAAGATAAACTCTTTTATGGTTTCTTGGTCAACTAGGCGATGAATTTCTGTCGGTAGGCGATAAGGACGCCATTAAACAGGTAAATGTTATGAAGAACTCTTTACGATATTAAGCAATTATAATAATGCGAATTCTAACTTAATTGATCTTGTCGACGTTGCAGATACTTGTAACAAAGGTATATATACAATCAAAAGACAATGATCGAGTTACTTGCATTTTAAATTAACACAACTGTACCTTTAGGAGTTGCCCAAGAGCCCTCTTTATTTACGATTTCGAGCTCGCCCAGACATTCCAACCCTATTCACAGCGCTGTAAGTATTTTTCCCAAAACTGATCAGACATCTCGATGCAAATCAACAAGATGAATTGACAATAACAATTTGTCCCTTCGCTGTTTCAGTGATCGAAGTTTCCATCGACAACGGGTAAAAATGCAACGATAGATTCATAATATCTACCTTTTGTGTTCTTTGCTTAACCAAAAAACTCACTGGTTCTCTCAATTTCCAAAAGAGACGACTGTTGTCCCATGCCTTTGGCATGAAAGCCATATCTTCGTTTGAACCTCTCATGCATTCGTGTGTCTATGACTTTGTGGAGACGATAGATTCCCAATTGCTCGACTTTCTAAGGAAAAACGGAATGACTCTTAATCTCTATAAAATGCTTCAGTATGTCACGTTGGATATTATAGGAGAGACGGCTTTCGGAGGATCGTTTGGATTAGTTAAGACTGGGTACCATCCATTACCAGATGAGGTGAACCGAAGTTTGAGATACGTAACCTTGAAATCAGTCATTCCGTTTTACGGTTATTTTGCAAAAGATCCCTTGTACCTGAAAGAGGTTAGTACATCTGAAAGCCAGTTTATGAGGTTGTTAGTATGGACGAGAAACAATTAATAATCATGGTATATCGTTGTTTAACTTCGACATGCTCACTTCCCATCTAGTTCATGGACAAATTAATAAGCGAACGTCGAAATGATGTCGTACCAATGCGCCAAGACCTTTTACAGCTCTTACTTGATGCTGGCAGCTCAGAGGGCCAGGGTCTGACGGACGATCAACTCATCACCCAAGTGATTGAATTCATGATCGCTGGTAGTGACACAACAGGCTGGAGCATTACTATCATAATTATGCTATTGCTTCAAAATTCTGAAAAAAAGGCAGCACTGTTGGAAGAGTTGGACGAGGCACTGGAAGGAGTACCGAAAGATGAGTTGCCTCCACATGAAATATTGAAAAAATTACCTTATTTAAATGCCGTTATAAATGAGGCAATGAGATTATGGCCTGTTGCTCTTGGTGAGTTGTGGTTAGAAGTGAAAAATAATATGTTTAGCAGATATTACGAGTGGACACCAATGTTAACAATTCTTTATTTTATTAGCAACCGGTCCTACCAAGAGAACAGTCGAAGACATAATACTATGTGGATATGTGATACCAGCCAACGTATGTATATGAGATTGAGAATGTGAGTGAAAGTGGGAGATGAGTTACTAATCCAAGCTTGACAATCTATTATACTCCGCAGACTCAAATATCCGCCAACATATATGCACTACATCATTCAGCCGACGTTTGGGGAGATAACGTCGAGGAATTCGTACCGGAACGGTGGTTAGATCCCGATAATTTACCCAAGGATGCGTTCTATCCATTCTCCGCAGGTATTTAAAAGATTTAATGTTTACTTGATCAATGGCGAACTGAAAGCGGACAAAGTTTGCTAATATGTTTAATCATTAAACGTGATGTATAGGTTCTCGTAATTGTATTGGTAGCAAGTAAGTTGGTCATAACAAAATTTGTTGCTTTAGAGTCGAAACTGCGAATCGAACCAATTTACTAACTTGCAATCTCAATTTAGTTTTGCTCTACAAGAAATGCGGCTGCTGGTTGCCACTTTGTTACACCGATACAGATTAGAAGAAATACCCGGACAGGACCTTGACATGGTGCAATATCTAACACCCGCTTTTAAGAGCAGAGCATATAATGTCCAATTCTATGAACGTTAGACTCTATTCTTCACTGTATATTGATATTTATTTGCATATACTCTACAATACCAGTATAGACTGAATTTTTGGCATTTTGGACAATTCTTACCAACAGCATTTGTAAACATACTCGCAACCCCCATCTCCGAACCCAAAAACATATTAATATGCACTATTTTTATGTAAAATAATAAATTAAGAAATATCAAAAGATAATGCAACTTTATTTAAGCTTAAACGTCACATTGATTCCACGTGATTATCTTTTTTTGTCGATCATAAAATAACATAATGATGCCTGAAAAACGTCCTTGCCCTCCCCCCTATTCTCCACCAGTGGAGGAAAAAGAAAGTATGAAGATTGTTGGACTGACGGGCGGCATTGCGTCGGGTTGGTAATGAACAACGCATTTGGCTGCTCGCAAACGTGTAATTCTACAAACACGTCTCTCTCCCTCCCATTTCTTTCAATAGGAAAGTCGACCGTCTCTAAAATGATACAGCGGCACAGGATACCAGTCATTGATGCCGATTACTTGGCGCGCAAGGTAGTGGAACCAGGGAAGCCAGCTTATAATCTGATAATCAGGAACTTTTCCAAAGACATTTTACTTAGCGATGGCACGTTGGATAGAACAAAGTTGGGCAATATTATATTTTCAAATGAAGATAAGAGAAAGCTGCTCAATCGATGTGTACATCCGTTTATAAGAAGAGAGATTTTCAAGCTAGTTGTATGGTACTGGATAAAGGGAGAAAGCCTTGTCGTGTTGGATGCTCCTTTGCTGATAGAGGGAAAATTGCACAAATATATGAGTGCCAACATTGTAGTGTATTGGTGAGAATGGTGTATTTTTTTTTAATTTGCTTAACGATTGATTTTATTTGTTCTTTTTTTCATTGGACTAATATATTTTGTTTCTTTTAATGTGCGTTCTTTTTTCTATGGTTAGTTCCGAACAATTACAAATAAATCGCATGATGCGACGAGACGGTCTATCTGAGCAAAGTGCCAGAGAAAGAATAGCAGCCCAGATGCCGATAAAAGAAAAAGTGCGATATGCTGATTACGTAATCGATAATTCAGGAGATTTGTCAGAGACTGAACGACAAGTGAATCAAATCGTTGCCAAGATCAAACCAACATTGTGGAATTGGCTATTGACGTGGTTATTGCCGCCTGTTGCTGCTGCTTATGGATTGTTGCATTTGGTGAACAGGTAGTTTGGTTTGAGGGAATATGTGTATTTAAAAAACGTTGAACGAGAATTGGACGTTGGGAAGAGATTGTACACTTGTACAGTTTGGTCTATGATTTTGTCCGGGTACAACAGTCAATCTGTTTATGCCGCTTAACCTTTTCACTCTTGTTTTTGCATAGAACATTTTCTAATTATAGTATTGAACGATATTAGCAAGTGAGAAAATTCAAGTACTGTAAATTATTTTTTACATCATCGAGATAGCATCTGATATTGGTAGCAGACATCAACCATGCCATACAGAATATATTTACTCAAACGAAATATTCAAAAAAGATATGTCCTAATTGTAATAATAAACAAAGCGAAAGCGGACTATACCGCCACGGAAATATTGCCTTAACAGCCAAACGGTTTAAATAAAAATACTGTCTATTCAGTAGCTTTTTTGTTAGACAGTATTCGTAGGAACGGTCAAAATAATTCCTATTTAATTATAACTTAGCAATGTCAGTACGAAGCAGCGTGTGTGATGAGGCAATCTTGCCTAAATCTTATTATTGCAATAAAGCAACAAAGAACAGTTATTAAGGGCGAGCGTAATATATTTGTAATGAACACACAATCTGATTAAAACTTGAAGTTATTATGAAATGCACGACCTGCGTCGTTTTTCATGTTGGCAAATTATTAGTCACGGGTTAGAAAAACTAAATAATCAATACCGATAATTGGCGCCCATCCGCATCCAATTTTAATATAAGACTAAAATAAAAAACGTAAACGGTAAACTACTAGTAATAAGGGAATAATAACACTATTTCACGTCGTATTATGAAGGTTGTATAACGACGTATTTATTAGTGGTAACTAATGTATGTTTGGACTGAGACACCTGAAACTGTTGTGTCTGGGTTCGGAATTGAGACAAGTTTCAAACATCTCCAATGGTATTTACCAGTAGTCTCAGACTAATGTTGGAAAATTGAGCTTATGACTGCAAAAGCGACATTGGAATTATATATAATGACATAATTATTGACTTAACACAGAGCGCTAACGACGAATTGGGCTGTTGCAGTATTTAAAATAGTAAACCAAGACATAATGAATAAAGTTTGATAATACCTTACGACGTTCTTCTTGTTCATTTCTGTTACACCATATTACATATAGCTTTACAACTTTATTTGCGGACTAATTATTTATGCTCTTCTTTCTCGAACAATGGGAATAAAATTTGAAGCATATAATTACAACTCCATGCCCACTTTGAATAAAATGACATACAAGTATCAACACCGTTTATTACAAATAATTAATTTGACAGTCTCGACTCGTTAATTTTACGACCAGTTTTTAATTTACAGTAAATATTCTAATTTATAACCGTGAGTTAAATTCCTGAATAGTTATAAAATTGGGACCAATAATTAGAAAATTAAAAGATATACCTTTACCACTGCTTCTCTGGGAGAAAAAGAAAAATAAAAGCTTTACTCTTTTAGACCCAAAAATCAGTAACAAGCTTACTGGTATCAAAGACTTTAGTTTATCTTGACAAATTACAGCAGTTAATTATTATTCAAAACTCAACTTTTTGATTTGTTTTCCAAGAAATAGTATGTAATCAAGTAATTAACGAGACTGGCTGACAGGTGATTGAGTCGGAAATTGGAAACTATATTAGACTCAAAATTCATACTCAAAACATGCAACTACTTAATAACAAGCAAATTTATCATGGGCGTACTTTATTATATTAATACTAATTACATAGTATTAAATAATTTAGGTTTGCTAATAAAAATTTAAAACTATAATAATAACTCTTCAATTCATATTATTAAATTTTAATTAGATAATTATATTTCAATCTTTCTTTTCACATTCTTTTTCAACCCGTTTAACTAAAGCCAAAAGACAATGTTTTTACTGTAACTAAATTGTTTTTGTTTGTTTGACTTTAAGTTTTTAATCACTTGCTTAAGGCTTTATATCCCAAAAAATAATCCCATTTTTTTATAAATGAGTTCGGGTTCAGAACACCTCACTCAGTTAACTGAGACGGCTGTTCTCGTTTTCAACGAGTTAAACCCATTTGAGGTTATAATGACGTGCTCTGAATATAAAAAAAACAACATTGGTGTTTTCAACTATTCAAACATAAAGAACACCCAAAACAAAAATTACATGTGTGTTGAATAAAGACCTCAAAACTCTAAAACAGAATTAGTATCGACTATTCTAAAAAACATTTCAAATTTCCGTAAGAGTTTTATTAATCTGGCTAGCTGAATACTTGACCACGTTGAAATTATTACGGCCAGATATGCGTTCATTATAACAACGAATTGCTAAATATATATTAATTGAGCGGTAGTAAAAGGCTTTTCAAGCACAGAAATTTGCTTAATACATGATCAGAGTAACATCACTAAGAGAGCTTTTAATGTTGAATCACTTTATCGAAAATGATAACATGCTTTGTGTTCACATAGTGGACCATTACCATATTCGGATATGATGAACACTTTATCGGACAAAAATGGGTAGCCGAAATTATAAAGCTCGGCGGGCGGCTCCGATAGCTCGATTGGCAATAGTAAATAAGGTCGGCGGCTAAATGTTTACGGACGCATGTCGGAAATTTTCGGCAAGCTTCGGAGATGATAACCTTAAACGGGGTTATTACAAATCATGAACGGGTTGTTTGAGCAAGTACAAATAGGAGCATTCTGGACAATAAGACCTACCGACAATCTCACAACAACAGCAACAACAAGAAAACAGCAACAACAAGAAAACAGCATCACAAAAAGACAAATACAATTCGAGTACGGGTAAAAAGACATAAAACAAAGTTTATTGTTTCAATATTACAATTTTGCCAAAATGTGTATGGTAAGCAAACTATAGAATTTTACAAGCAACCGACACTCTATAATATTCACTGTTAATTCGATTATCTCTTAAATTTTAGAAAGTACTCTGTGCCAACTGTCAGAAAATCACTTGGCGAGGGTGCGGGAAACATGTTGAGCAAGGTACATGCACATCAGATTACCTAAGCCACCATGCATGCATATATTCGGTTGCTTCTGCAAATAAGAATCGCCGTTATTGAGCATTCCTTAATAGTTTGTTTAACACCCCTTCTAAAGCCATATACCTTTGTTTGTACATATTTTAACAGTCATGCGAGATGTGAAGCCCGAAGATCGTTGCAATTGTGAAAGAGGTGACAAGAAACAAGGTACCCAACCAGAATATCTTATTTTCGGTCTAATAGCTATTGTTATAACGTGGTATTGGTTTAACAATTTCTAGCGTTGTAAACAACAGTACATGTTATATCACAGCGTTATCTAGACTGAATGAACGAAGAACAAGTTGGTCGAATAAGCATAGTAAACGTCATGTATATCAATAGATTTGCTTTTTTATATATCTATTTATGGATTGTGTAGCTCAACGTGCATAATTATTGTCTTTGACATCACGCCACATCTGAGTGTACAAATTACTAAACAGAGCGGAACACGATTTTTAAAATAACTTCAATTACGAGATAGCCAATTAATTGGATATTCCATCTGGTTTTCCTTTTGTCATATTTGTTGCGAACGCAAAATAAACCAGTTTTTGGTGACTCAAACATGCAAGTTAGTTCGTATAACAATTATATAAATCGGGCAGTAGAAATAACCATTAAGTTTTCATGTCGTTCTCGTGAACAATGTGCATACGAAACCCGTTCCCGCCCAGTATCTCTGCAAGGCGTATACAGTTAGTAATACCTTACGGAAATCAGTGTTTGTTGCCGCCATCAGTCCGTAAATTCTCGTTTCCCACAAACCCAGTACTCGAGCAATTAGCTCGACCAAAAAATTAAAAACGGTTATTTACCTCCCAGCGATCTTGTATTAAATTACGGACTGGAACTCTTTATGTTTTATGGGAGTAAACTATTTGCCAGTAATTTTTCTTGCCTCAATAGAAAAATTTTAAGGTACCGGCATATCGGCATATCTCATTAAACAAAGGGAAATCTGCCGCACCTAATTGAGGCCATTATTGTATGCAGCATGGCTTTTTTTTTTCACATCGATAAAAGGGGAAGCCCGTTTTTGACATTTGTGTATAAATGATACTTGAACAGTAAGCGTAGACTTGACGTAATTACGCCCAAACAAACAAATTGACCGCTCATTACTATTTATAGTTGGGGTTGATAGACAAACGTAGATCGAATACCATAAACAGAATTATTTAAGACATAATACTCGGTGAAAAAATCGTGCTTACTTAATCTATAAAAAGATCTGGCAAGACCCCTCGCTCAGTCGTAGGGGATGATGGTAAACACACACATACCGTACTCATATATATTACATAATGCATCTATCTATTTGCATATATATCACCCGTCTTCGTTTCGTCGTTACGTTATGGTGATGGTCAATCTCGACATACGGTCTATCATGCATAGACTACACAGCCACGTCCATATCATTAACTTCCATTATGCGGACCGCATCAATGAACGATGAATTAGGCAATTTATCGATAATTATGGACGCCCGTCACTCTCAATTCTTTCCCCAAGTTTATAATCAATAATTATTATAACAATATATTAACATTACACCACACCCACCATAATAAGCCCCCTCTCTCCCACAGCATATCTTGTATCACAGGAATATGGAACATAGAGAAGATATTCAAAATTTGGGTGGCGGTTATCAAATCTGAGCAGGAGCTTTATGGAGGGAACGCTTCATACTATGCTTATTTCCGTTTATATCAGACTTTGCTTTATGTGGGATGTTTCTTTGCGAAAATTAATCAATCACACGTGCGCAAAAAACGCAACTCTAAGCATAATGTTTGGCTTGGCATATTGTACATGTGTGCTACTTAATTAGAATATAAAAGCGTCAACGGTAGCATGCATTTGAAAAAAAAAAATCAATCCAAGCACCTAATGCGGTCTCCGTAATTACATTTCTTTCCCTAACTTACTATTACCCTTTCTTTCTCCGACTTCCCTTTCCTTTCTCCTCGCCATCCGACATCTTTACCTGTCATTCACGACTTTACCTGCCAAATAAAAAATTTTTAGTTTAATTGACCAACTTTTGCGTTATCCGCGGCGGTTGTGTAAAGAAAAACACATCCACTCACACAAACTTTGAATGCTAAACTTGCTTTTTCTCTCTCTTTTTTAACGTTTTTTTTTTGGACTAATCAGACCCGGTGTTCTGTAAAAACTGTCTTGTATACATAACATTAGTACAAATTACAAAAAAGAAAAAAAAAATGACATCATTAAATACATCATCTTCGCAACATTTTACTCCTTATTCTTCGAATTGTATTTACTGTCCAACAGATTCATATTCATGTGAGCAATGCCCTTACTCTCATTATCCACTTTCACCAACATCGCCTTCTCAATATCCTTTCTTTTACAAAAACATTTCTCCCGAATATAACCATCCGCATTATAACCAGATCTCACCAGATTATCCACCATCTCCACCATATGACGAATTACAACAAACTGGGTTAAATCAGAAATATCAATACAAGTCACAAGGAAGAAACATTTATAACCCTTACTTCGATGATAGTGCTGATAACCGTATGATTGAAATGACAAATAGGTGGATGAGATGTAGCAGAGAATCAGAGTATAATGCCGAGTTTAACCAAAAAGGAGGAGGCTTGGGAGGGGGTCTGAAGGGGACAGTTAATGCGTTGGAGGCTTATGAATTTTTTTACGAGACGGGGGATAACGCTAAGGCGGCTATTGAACGATTTACAATGCGTCCGCGAAGTCCTTGGACTCAACAGGTAGAGCTTTTTTTTCGTTAAGTAAAATGTTAAGACCAGCGGGCAGGAAAGGAGGGAGAGAGTCGAATCGTTTTTATTGTTGACTTATTGTTGTACTTAGAATGAGATTACCTTGCTGGCCTTGATCTGTTGGTAATTGCTGACAGCGAGTTTAATTAAATTTGATTTCTAATTCCCAGTCAATTTTATACGTTTAATTTAGGAGGATCACCGCTTACGAGAATTATACAGCTTGCTTGGTCCACGCTGGTCTAAAATAGCCTCACAATTAGGAACTTTACGATGCGGCAAACAGTGTGAAGAGAGGTGAGAATAGAAACTTAAAATGATGATCTTCATGCTTGTGTGACCTGTAAGATTAATATTAATTATCGATACAAAATAACTTGAACAGGTATAATTATCATTTGAGACCAAACAGTTAAGTATTTTGTATATATATCGCCTGCTAGAAAACCTATCCGATTGATCGGTTTTAATTAACTTTTTTATATCTCTCGCTACTTTTCTAATCTCTTTACGATCTTTTCTTATTCTACTTCCCTTGTATTCTAAATATAGTCGTAAAAGAGCCTCTTAGTAAACTAGAAAAACTAGCTATATGTCGTCTGCATGGAATATACGGGCCGGAATGGGCTCGAATTGCAAAAAGGCTTCGCGGGCGTACTGGCCTAACAGTCAAAAATTATTGGTATAACGAATTAAAAAGAAAGAAACGTCTAGCAGCTAATATTCGCACTCAAATGTCATTACAGAGACTACTCAACTGACTAGAATCTTTGACAGAGTAAGGGAGCTGTTAGATGCATATAGTCTATGCCATGTTATGTATACATACATTTGCATACACGTGTACGCACACGTGTGACTATCATTGATTATTTATAATTATGTAATAAGCTGTATCTAGTCAATCCGATTTCATTATTTGAACCAGTTCAATATTGCTTCAAGACAAGATGAATGCGTAGAAGACAAAAACGCAACCGGAAGATGGTAATGAAGCACCAAGAAGAAGAACGAACGTAAAATCAGTTAAACGTTATCGATTATCAGAGATAAATCGATTCAAATATGAAATACTCAGCCAATTCGATCACTACAAGTAAGCAAATTGACATACAGTAGTATAATATAACATGTATAAACCTATCAAATACTCATATCAAATTAAAGTTAATATTATTGTATTTGAGCTTTAAGTAATAAATCTACGATTGCCCATATGATTAGTTTTTGTCAATGATAATAAAGATTGATATAGCATTAAAGACTTTCAAGCGCACGTGGAAATAAAGCCAGACATTTAACCCGTTTTATCTGACTTAATAAACGTAGAATTTTTTTCAAACTCTATCATTACCATTGACAGAGTTCAGGGTCCGTCCCATTCCGAGCCCAGACATTCAATCCAGACTCGGTCGTCTCAGTTTAGAACTGAGACAAGTACGTACAACAGCAGTATATTGTACTCTTGCAGTATTTATTGTAGGAGAATTATGCGATGTTACGTTACTTTGTAGAATAATAATGATATGCACAATCCTGCATGCATACAGTCAAACAAAACACACCTTAAATACACGCGCGCGTACATTTGAATTGGTAAATCACGTGATAAATTTTATACTTCGAAATAATGGGGAAATTTTGTCGGCGAAATGAATGCCATGATTTATTATTATTATAAATTGTTTATGTTAGCGTAGTTATAATTGTTAATTTATAGTTTCTGTAGCATTTTATTCCTCTAATATACTTTTGCCATTATTCCTATTTCACTATACGTATATACGATCTTCAAACGTTTTATAATGTATATTGACAATTTGTTTGTTATGAGGTGTATCATCACAATTGATAGAGGATGCAGAGAATAAGACGATTGTCTATGTCATCACTTTATTACTCCAAAGGATGAGACAGCATTAAAAGAAGGAAGCTTGACAGGAAACGAAGAGGAAAGTCGGTAGAATTCCGATACATCTTGTCTCTAAGCAGAAGTACTGACAATCATTCTCGATTTTCTGATTTAGTCTGCTGAAGGGCCATTGGGTGTCGAATTGGGACCATAAACTCTGTACGAGTTTGGAGGTTTGCTCATTCTACTTAACAGAACTCGAATGGTGTTTTAGATAACTGATAAAATATTCTACCAAAAAGTATTTGATATTATAAATTATTGTCATTTGCGAAGCAAAGCTGCTTACACGGTCTCTGATTGTTTCATACAAAAGAAGTGCAAAGATTCGATATTCTAATTCCGCAACATCGTCCATATAATCTACAAACAAAGCGAGGAAGCTCCGCTCCTAAATCCGAGAATCGACCAAAGCCGGAGACTAATTTTGGGATGGCACTTTTATAGCTGTTGTGTCTGAGTTCAGGACTTGTCTCAGTTCAGAACCCAGTCATTCAGTCCAGTACTGAGACAGGTTCCCAATTGAGGTACAACATAGCCATGATTACGTTTCCTGTTCACAGCATCCGAATATCGAGCTTTCGAAGATTACGACAGGAATTTATAAATACCATTGATCGACCGATTGTGTTGATCTACAATAAAACTCTCTGCCATCACACTGTAATAACGCGGACCAGTTAAGAGGAATATCATAGATTTTCCTAGATGCCTTCGCAATTCCGAGCTGGTTTTTTGACGTCAGAGGTACAGAATATTCGAATCTACTGGCGATGTTACAAGCGTTAAGAACACCTAAGGAGAGCTCGAAGAAGTACTGTGTATGCGATTCGCCCCGAAGACTTCAAAGACGATTAATCCTCAGCAGTCCATTATCTCTAAACGTCCTTCCTCGATGTGCCGGTATCGACGCAAGTACATCACGGCGTTTTTTGCTGTCTCCCAGACTGGGGTAAGCCCGAAGAATTCTTGTGGAGGGCCAAACCAAAACGAGTAGGAGCAATCTTACTTATTGTTCTGCGGTAGAAGATAATACCAAAAGCAACAAACACTCTTACCAATGATAGAATCCAAGTCTCGTTTTACACTACAAGAACGTGGTTCCGCATGTCCACCTCATTCATCACCAAATCGCTAGTTCGAAACAGATATCGAGGTGTCTTCGTTCGACTATACGATAATCGACCCGTCTTGAACAGAATCGTCGATCGCCCTTCTGAACAATATCAAGATGCAAAGCCCAGTTTATCGAGAGCAGTCGATAGAACGGAAACATGTTCGACCTAGTCCACGGTTCTTATTATCGTATCTGATTAATTCCTGTTTTTCCACCAGGGTCAATAGTTAACACTTTATTTCTCGTTCTCTCGACTATATTCAGGTTCATCTTGTTGCTCTTCCTCCTGAGTCATTTCAACAAATAAGTTCAGTTAATTTAGTGCAATTGCACTTAGAAGACGATGACAAACCAACTAAGAAAAGATCTCATTTGGAAGCGAAGATTGCGATCAGGAATAGTATTGACAATGGACATGAAATAAGAGAGGCCCGATGAGAAGAAAAATGTCCAAGTTAACAAGGATAGGACCTTAAGCAGAATATGGATTAGCGCCTAGGCGTTGAACGATACATGTTGTATTCTGCTTAACCTTTGCTCTTGCTCCCGCAAAAATCTGAAACTCACTTTCCCACTCCTGATTGGGCTTCATTCTTCGAGTTATATTTCGTCTGCCATTAGGAGAAGCTTAAAAACCCCTTCCTATTTCCAGTTACAAATAATAAGTCACAATAAAATTTCATTACGATGCCTTTGATAACGAAAATAAATTCTTTATAAATGTAACAAATCACTTGTACCTCACCCATCCTCCTATTACCCCAACCTATCCCATCGCAATCCTCCTCTCTTTCTATCCTCCAGCTCATAATGGTCTGAAAATATGTTCTACTATGGATCTCAGGTTTTGATAGAGCAGCATGACAATAGGCTAAGAATTACATGCATCTCATCTCATATCCCTTAACCACCGCCGCCCTCCTTTCTCTACGTTTCGACCTCCCTTAACAGCCACAATATTTATACGATCAGCACACCTGATTAGACCGCAAACAACCGGCGATTCGGTTGTGCCATGATCCGTCGTTCATCCACATGAAAACCGTTGCAGTCTGATCTCCCAAGATTAGAATATCCTATTAACGATATGCTATAAAAGCATAAATGTTAAAAAGTGATAAAGAAAATGACGAAAAATAACAAACAACAACATAGTATAGAGCTTTGATTTACCTCAAATGACAGCCTGTCGCCGAAAAAAAGATATAGTAAATTGATAGGTATTAATACATCAGCGTTCTTCCTGACTCGTTTGCTACTTGACAATGCCGATATCAATTGCTTGCAATTGCCTAATGATGTAAGCTACCTCAGTTCGCGGATCAAGAACAATAGAGTCTGAATTCCTGGTGTGGAACATTCGCGCGCGCAAATTACGCATCTAGTTTTAACTTACCGGGCAAACCATAGTGCACAGATGTCCCCCCCCAACATAATCCATCAACCAAACGTCCAATGCTTGAGTCACATTCCTTCACATTTGTGCTAAGGTAATAACTACTTCTCTCGTGCTCAAGTGATTCTGCAGATTTTGCCCAGACCATTAATACATCATAAAGATCTGTATCTTCGAGCTTAGCGACGACTGATGCTAGTTTGCGGTCGCGTTGCAATTCCGCAAATTAATGCCCGTTAGAGATTGTTATTTGCTTGCTAAATAATTCGTGTAACTGCCATTGCTATTGTCACAATCGTTCGTGGCTATGTTAAAGCGTCGAGCAATTCCTTGAGCATGTCGAACTTTTAAGTGACACCCCACGTGCGTCGATCTGAAGGATGCATGCGTGGGAATTATCACAATCACTAGCATCGTAACAATGGGCTTGTGACTCGAATAAATTGAAAAAGGGTATGTAGACACGGTTGACGTTGTGAAGTTTCAAACAAGTTATGAGGTATATTTCACCTACAAAAATTACCAAAAGGGCTAACTTCGAAATGATGTTGGGGATTTAACCTCTCTTTGGGAAAATATTGACAATAGCCGGTTGTATTTAGAGGCAATATTACGATTGTGTTTTTTCTCTGTCTGTGAAATGAACGCCGCCTCCTTATTGAAGCGATCTATTGTAACATGTCACATCCATGCATAACGCGATTACTATGAGGCTGAATACATTTACCATGTGCAATTAACATTTTGTTTGAAGAGACATTATTATAGAATTTGATATCAATAGTAATGATGTAAGTATGGTTATTATTCATTTACTTATGTGAGTCGTATTCACTTGTTCTAACTCTAACTCCATTTTAGTCAACTGCCTGTTTTATTAATTGTTTACATTCGGAAGAAGGTTAGATGCTATGGAACGTAACTTGAAAAAGCTGTTGCTGTTATGTCGAGAATTTTTCTATCCGATATTTCAATAAAATGTTTGTAGCATACATGTTACATTACAATAGCTTATACGAGGCTTCTTGACCTTACACATCTAGCCTACGCTTAATAATAACTCATAAAAATTATATATAGTGACGCAGCAATTTAGGAATCAAATCGGCTTTATTGATTAACTTGCGGCAATTTCACTTGTCTCATTTAACCCACGGGCTGTTGAGATTTGTGGTCTGTAGTCTGACTTACGCTTTCGTTGGCAGCACTACGATCCAGTATGTCCTAATCAATAAATCGAGAATGCAAGTCAAAAATATGTAACATTTACATCGCAAAACACAAAAAATAATTTACCTTCTTTTTCTCTTTCTTTGCTTGCTTCAATTCTTCATGTGGATCAACGTTCTTTCCACTGTATGCAGTGTCTGTATCAGCCACTTCATTTGTGGTCGTTGTGTTTGTCTGCTCAGTACTGTTGTATGGTTTAGTCTTTTCGTATCCTGATTTGTCTTTTTCTTTGGTAGTTGATGTAAGTCTACGAACCGGATATAAAAGTCTTGGTGCAAGCTTGTCGGAAAGACGAATACGAGAGAGCATCTTGCAAGCATATCGCAAAAGTGTGATGACATGTTTATATGTACTTAAAGGTTGGTGATGTAATCGTGTGTAATGTGTAGCGCTGTACTAGACATATTTGACAAAACTTGATCGACACGAATAAATAAGTGAAAGTCACATGTGAAACCAATACAATGTCGGTTTCATCGCTTAACTTTTAACGTTAATATTAATAGCAAACCATAAATAGAATCATTATTCTGAACCGCGTAGGAATACTGACTTTTATAGTTTTTTCCGAAAATATAAACATTATATGGATAACCATTAATATTTAACTGATCAAAAGTCGAATGAGAGTGTTGAGAGGCTTTGGATATGAATCCAGGGAAAGATACGGAAAAGTATCGCATGATGTATATTGAGGAGTCGATATGTTTTCTGTATCGTCATGTCATTAGTATTGGATGCTCTGTTCGGAATGGCGTAAAGCTAAATCATTAAACAAATTACACCGGTGCCACTTACAATATTGTATCATATTCCTAATATTACGCAATCAAATATACTCAAACATACCGTATAGTCTGGTTGTTGTGGTTTCCGTTTATATTATCGAATGCTTATTGACATACAGTATATTGTCATGTAAATACCGACGCGGTTAAGATCAAGAGAGGTAGTTGCCACTGCAATCAGTTCAGGTGACAGTTTCTGTCGTATTGATGGTAGGAAATCGACCATATTATGGGTCCGAGCAAAAAGATCTAATATTATATTTGTGCAAAAAAGGTCTATATGACTAATGACGGCGGAGCTCGTAGGATGGGTGTAATAACTTAGTCTAGTCAACAATACTAACGTACAAAATTGATAGCTTAGACGTACGTACTTTCTTTTCGCCCCTCATCATGTAAAAACGTTTCTTTACAAGTTGCATCTTAAAACTTACACATTTGTTGACTATTGCTACCGTCCGTTAATTTGTTATTCTTGGTTGTTGTGTGATCAGTAATCGACGACAAAATCTATTTCGCGTCTTTGAAGAATTGGTATATCCAAATTCAAATCGTACTGAATATACTACATCAATTTTTTTGCATACATATTGACGACAGTTATTGTTAACAAGTATGTAAATTTCATAAAATTACATTCTTTATCTTGGTTGTGTTATCTGTTATTAGTAATTGACGACGAAAATTGATTTGTGTGTTTGAAAAATTAAGACAGTCATTCATGCGAATCGAAAGATATTCCCTAGTACTAGCTAGCCAATTGTGCAGAAACTGGTAAACTATTGCCATTATTTTAATGGTTCGTCATTAAGACTAATACCATCAAGAGCAAAATATCGTACAACTTCATCTAATTTGTCTGAAACTGATGTTCGGCTATTTACTATTCTTAGTTGCCCGAAGAATTCATCATTATATATTTAATTCACACTTAATACAATTTTTTGCACCCAAATTGACAACAATTTTAGTTACCTTTAACATATATGAGCATCAAATCTTTGGTCGTTGGGCTATTAGTAATCGGCGACGGAAGTTGAGTTCGCGCATGACTCATATTGCGTGGAAATCTTCGATTCAAAAAACCTACTTGGATAAATATTACCAAGAATGAGTAAACAGTATCATCAAAATCACGGACCCATGAAG